CATATTAGAAAACAATTAGCTTACTAAACAAATTTGAGTATTTGGTGGGGGTGGGGTAGGGGTGATCCTCTCCGAATCTTTCTCATTTGACTAAGAATTATGGATATTTGATAACCATGTTTAAAAATGGAGATATCCAAATATTATTGTAAACACCCAATGATTTGTTTTACCTACAATATAAGTATTTTACTTGGTTGGCTTACATAGTAGCTAATAATATTTGTTAATGTAATTTAACTGCTGTGAACCTTTACTGAACAAATATTGAAATTTATTCAAGTCAAAGAAAGAGAATCTCTAATGACTTTTGTTAAAGCTTCTATTTAATAGTTAAGGAGAAAAGTTTGTATGACATACGAGATGCAATTAACAGTAGATTTTACATTTAATAAAAAGAAAGAAGCATGCGTATTTGCTTTATTCATTCCATCATAATTTGCATTAGAGCTGTGGGTGTTTAATGAGCAAATTCCAACTAAAATGCTATATTGATTTTCTAGTGAACTTTGTAATAGTCATCTACCTTGGAAAAGCTCAGTGTTTACAATTAAGTTTTCTTTACTAAAAATGTTGGAGAGTTGCCTATTGATCCTTTAAAAATACTGAATTCTTCAAAGAACGAGATTTTTATAACCAACAAATTTTACATTAACCTAATATATGTTGAAAGTTATTCAGTAATACCTTAATTTTATTTTTTGGTTTTTTGTTTTAAGTTTTATTTTTAACTGACAAATAATAATTGTATATATTTATGGGATGCAATGTTATATTTTAATACTTGCATATACCCTGTGGAGTGATCAAATCAGACTAATTAACATATCCATCATCTCAAATACTTATTGTTTCTTTGTGGTAAGAACATTTAAAATCCATTCTTTTAGTTTTTTGAAATATACAATGCATTCTTATTTACTATAAGTCACCATGCTGTGTAATAAATCACCAGAACCTATTCCTATCTAACTGAAACTTTATGCTCTTTGATCACATCTCCCCTTTCCCCGTCCACCCCACCAATAGACTCTAATAAACACCAATATATTCTCTATTTCTACTCTTCTACTTCTATGAATTCCGCTTTTTTTTAGATTCCATGAATAAGTGCAGTATTTTTCTCTGTGTGCCTGGCTTATTACACTTAGCATAATGTCCCCTAAGTCTATCCATATTTTTGCGAATGACAGAATTTCCTTTTTTCCCCCAGCATTTTCAGATGAAAAAGTTGAGTTCCAGCTTTGTAAAGGCTGTAGAGTATTCCATTGTCTATGTATACCACATTTTAAAAATCTATTTGTCCATTAATGGGCTCTTAAGTTGTTCTCATATCTTGCCTATCGTGAAGAATGCTACAGTGAACATGGGAGTACAGGCATCATGTCTTTGACATACTGATTTCAACTCCTTTGGATATGTACATATAAGTGGAATTGCTGGATCATATGGTAATTCAATTTTTAGTATTTTGAGGAACCTCATACTGTTTTCCAAAGTGGCTATACTAATTTACAATACCACCAATAGTGTATACAGATTTCCTTTTCTCCATATCATCACCAACAACACTTGCTATCTTTCATCTTTTTTGATAAAAGCCAATCTAATAGGATTTTAAATAGGATTATGTTTTCTTATTATTGAGTAGTTTGAGTTCCTGGTATATTTTGGATATTAGCCAGCTCCTTATCTAGTATATAATTTGTAAATATTTTCTCCCAATATGTAGGTTGTCTCTTCTCTTTGTTGTTTCTTTTGCTGGATATAGCTTTTTAGTTTGATACAATCCCATTTCTCTCTTTGCTTTCATTGCCTGTGCTTTTTGGGTCATATTCAAGAAATCTCTGCCCATACCAGTGCCATGGAGCTTTTCTCATGTGTTTCCGTCTAGTAGTTTTATAGTTTCAGGTCTTATGTTTAAGTTTTTAATCCATTTTTGAGCTGATTCTTATACAAGGGGTGAGATAAGGATCCATTTTGATACTTTGGCATGTAGATGTTCCCAACACCATTCATTGAAGAGTCTATACATTCCCCATTGTGTGTTCTTGGCACCTTTGTTGAAAATCAGTTGACCATAGGTATGTGGGTTTATTCCAGGGTTCTCTATCCTGTTCTATTGGTCAATGTGTCTTTTTATGCTAGTACTGTGCTATGTTAATTACTATGGCTTTGTAATACATTTTTTAAATCATAGTGTGATACCTCCAGTTTTGTTCTTTTTGCCCAAGATTGCTTTGGCTATTTGGGGTCTTTTATGGCTCCATACAAATTTTAGGATTTTTTTTCTATTTCTGTGAAGAATTACAGTGGAATTTTGATAGAGATTGCATTGAATATGTAGAGTAATGTTTTAATTTTGAAAACTTTTTATCATTTGTAAATTGTAAAACCAGATTTCGTGTGTGAGGGGGGTGGGTGTGTGTTTTCTTCCATTTTAAAATTTAACCTTTGAATACTCCTTTAAATGCACATATACATCACTATTTAGCATCATTTTGTCCATCTTGTCTCACCTACAAATTAGAAATATTTTGCAATGTAAAAATTTGAAAACGTCTTAGAATATCATTTTGAATAAATTATTATGTCATTATAGTATGCAGTATACAATATAGAATGGGTTCTGAGCAACTTTTATTTCAGTCCCTAATATAATTTTTGCCCACCAATGAAAACGGTTAAAAAATGGGGGATTTTGAATTGGATTTTTTACATATAAATGGTCCACATTAATCACAGTGACATTATTAATATATCTATGAATTAAGTCAAATTGTGAGTATATGGATTTAGGGTGGTGACTATGGTGGTGGAATGGAACTAATGGTTGCTGAGGATACACTTTATTTTATTTAATTGGTCAACAGCTTTCATATATTGTCTGATTTAATTTTCCCTAACAACCATGAATGATAGTATTATATCCATTTTATGTACTTGAACTGCAACTACTAGAATTTAAGAAGTTTATAAAAACAAGGCTGCTGAATCTGAATCTGTTTGAATCTGAATCTGTTTGAATCTGAATCAAAGCCCATGTTCTTCCATACACCTTGCTGTTCTCATTCTATACCATATAAGATATATCATATTGCTTTCTTTAAGCTGTTATTATTGTCCTTCCTGGAAGGAGATTATGCAGAATTAGAAGGGAAAAATAAAATTCATTTTTATATACTATATTCTGGATAGAAGTCTCTTTCAAAAGAGATTGAGTAATTGATACAATTGTCCCTTTTATCTGCAGTTTTGCCTTCTTCGGTTTCAGTTACCAATGGTCAGAAAATATTAAGTGGGAAATTCCAGAAATAAGTAAATCATACATTTTAAATTGCACACCAGTTTGAGTAGAGTGGTGAATTTTCATGCTGTGCTTCCCAGGACATGAATTATCTCTTTGATATGCTGTATGCTACAACCACTTTTCCAACACTTATACTTTAATACAATAATAACTGTCTTGATAAGCTGTGTATTAATCTATAACAAACCTTAGGCAGGAATCTAACACTTTATTAACTGAAAGCATTTAAAACACTTTTCCAAAGTTTATTTTGTGGTTTGACAGTATAAATAAATTTGATTTGGTGATTCAGGTATTTGAATCCCTCTTTGTCTAACATTGCAATACTGTTTTTTAAATTATGTAAGATTTCAAGTATACAAACAGTAGAAATTATACTTAAGAAATGACAATTTTAGGTAACATCAAAGCTCCCAATAGAGTGCTACACAAATCTAGATGATGTTATTTATATTATAATCTAATCAGTGGTGCCCCTTGCTGTGTGCTGATGTGTAGTGCTAAGAGCTCTGTCTCGTTTTGTTCTTCCAAGACCCATTTCCTTTCCCCCTCTTCCACCGTAGCACTGAGAATGAGGTAACTATTAATGTGAATTTGGCGTTTATAATTTCAATGCTTGTTGTATTATATTCACTAATTGTGTCTATCTGTAAATAGTTAAAGTACAGTTGTTTTATTTTGCAAGTTGCTAATTTTGCCAACATTTTGTTTTTGAGATTTGTCCACCTGTCCTAAGTTAATTCATTTTAAATACTGGGTAATATTCCATTCTGAATGTAATTTATTTCTATTCATGTTGATGGACGTTTGGGTTATGTTTAAGTTTTTGTTGTTATAGGCACCACTGCAGTATTTTTATGTTTCCAGTTGCACATGTGCAAGAATTTCTCTAGGCTACATACCAAAGAGTGGTTTTGCAAGGTTGTAGATTAGGCCCATCTTCAACTTTAATAAACATTGCCAAATTGCTCTTCAGATGGTTGTAGAAATATCTATGTCTGTCTGCGGTATATATAGGCTTCCTTTATTTCACAAACTTGCAACAATTGTTATTATTAGACCTTTAAAGTTTTGCTCTTTTTATGGGTATGAAATGGTATCTCAGTTTTGCAATACCTATTAAAATGTTTTCTCAAGTAATTATTGATACTAATTCAATTTAATAATTCAGCAGTCTTTAAAATAACAGAATTAATAAAATGTGGTATATGTATACCATGGAGTACTACTAAGCCATAAAAAATGGGGAGCTAATACCTTTTGTAACAACCTGGATGGAACTGGAGACCATTTTCTAAGTGAAGTAATATAAGAATGGAAAAACAAACACCACATGTACTCACTATTAAACTAGAACTAATTGATAAACACATGCACATATGGAAGTAAACTCAATGGAAATCAAGCAGGCGGGGGAGAAGGGTTGTATAAATTTACACTTAAGGGGTATAATACACACCATCTGTATGATGGGCACACTTATAACATTGACACAAACTGTACAAAAGCAATACATGTAACCAAAATGTTTGTACCTCTGTAATATACTGAATTTTTTTAAAACACACAAAAGAAATACATCAGAATCCATTTTAACATAAAACATAATTATTTTGCTTTTTATTTTTGCTAAATGTATGCATTTCTTCTTCATTTTCTCTGATTGATTATTGGTTATTTATTTTCATAGCTCTCGTTGAAGAAGTGTATTTTGCACAGAGGGAACGTGATGAAGCTATTATGTCTAGACTGCAGTTAGCCATTGAGGAGAGAGATGAAGCGATTGCACGAGCCAGGCATATGGAAATGTCTCTAAAAGTGTATGTACACATTTAAAATTCTATGTATTAGGAACATTGATAAAATGCATGCATTATGTGGTAGTTACACATTTAAAAATGTTACTGATTCTTTTTTTTCTTTTTCTTTTTCTTTTTTTTGAGACAGAGTCTCACTCTGTTGCCTGGGCTAGAGTGCTATAGCGTCAGCCTAGCTCACAGCAACCTCAAACTCCTGGGCTCAAGCAATCCTTCTGCCTCAGGCTCCCAAGTAGCTGGGACTACAGGCATGTGCCACCATGCCTGGCTAATTTTTTCTATATATTTTTAGTTGTCTGGCTAATTTCTTTCTATTTTTAGTAGAGACTGGTTATCGCTCTTGCTCAGATTGGTCTCAAACTCCTGACCTTGAGTAATCCTCCCACCTTGGCCTCCCAAAATGCTAGGATTACATACGTGAGCCACCACGCCTGGCCTATTACTGATTCTTATATGTTACACTAGGAAATTGAATATCTTCATAATCTTTTTTCTAAAACTTTTGGCATGCTACTTTGTCAGGGATAACAGTCAATTTGAAAAAAAGAAAGAAAGAAAGTAATGCACCTCACTCTCAATACAATTACTTCTTTACTTCTCTGTAGTTCTGTTGTTGATTTCCTTACCCTACTTTCCCTATGTGACTCCTCATTCCTTCTTTTTATCACCTCTTCTTTTTGTCACTTTCTTGGTTTATTTCAACTGTTTGGTTATATTCCTGCTGCTCTCTGCTTAATATCTCTGTTCCTGGTCTTTGTTATTTTTTACTCATAGTTCTTTTAGCTGTTGTTTTTAAACTCTAATGACACTTGGAATAGGGTGGAGCCTAAGAATCTGCATTTTTGACAAGCAACCCAGGTGATTCTTACAGATAAATAATGGACTACACTTAGAGAAACTATGGACTAGAAATGAATACTTCTCAAATTTTAATGTAAAATTTTAAATCCCCCACTTGGGGGATCTTGCTAGAATGCAAATTCTAGTTCAAGAATTCTAGGGTGGGGCCTGAGATTCTGTCTTTCTAACAAACTCCAGATAATAGAGTTGTTGCTAGTCTATGGAATATGTTTTGGGTAGAAAAGCCTTAGAACATCTAGATATATGTTTGCAAAGATAGATAGAATGTAGTAATCTAATATTTAATATTAATCAATCAACATACTTATGACTTGTTTGCTTTGCCCAGTGTTGTGCTATGCTCTGTGATGGAACAGAGTAAAGTACTAATTAAAATAAAAACATGGTTCGTTAGGGAGACCAAAAGCTATAAATAATTTACAATGACAGTGTTCAAGCTGTGTTGAGATAACATGATTTGGTTTTTGTTTAGATTAATGGCTTCATTTTTTTGAAGATGGACAGAAACTCATTATGAAGCATTAAACTTATTTGAAAAATATAAATAAACAGCAAAAAATTCACCTAAATTCTACAACATCCACTCCAAAATAACCATTTTCCCTTTAGGTATATACTTAAATACCATTACCTAGAAGGATAGATGGTGTGTGGTTAAATGGAGGTATCCATAGAATTAATTTGATAAAAATCAAGTTATTTTCTACATGCTGTTTTGAGAGGCAGTGTAGTTTCCAGGTTTAGAGTGTGGATTCTAGACCCAGTCTATCTTCAGATATTGGCTGTGCTGCTTCCTTGCTGTACAGCCATGGACGAATTACCCAGAGTGTCTGCACTCTCATTTTTTTGTCTATAGAATGTGTCTTATAGTACCTACCTTATATAGGTCATTATGAGGACTAAATGACTTACTAAATATTGAAAAGTACCTAGCTCATAGCAAGTGCTATGTAAGTGTTACTTGAATTTAAGAGTAATTGTCAACTGAAGTGGGACTAAAGAAAATTTTGACTTTTGTGCACTGTTTTCTGTCAACAAGATATATTAATTTCCTAAAAATCCTTCTAATATTAAAAAGAGAGATTGTGAAAAACATTGAGATGTTGGAGTCATCAAATTTTTTTCAGGCAGTATTTCAATTAAACAGTATCATTCGACTCAGGTATGAAATAAATAAGCATTTTGAAACTCTTTTTTTCTTTTTCTTTATTGATTTTACTTTAAAATATTTGTAAAAGTATTAGCTTCTATAGCCATATTAGTTTCTATAGCCAAAGTTCCCCCTTTTGTTTAATCTTAATTTTATTTAAAAGGATCAAATAATTATTGCTGGAATTTTATCATAAACGGCATTTTATGCCTGAGTTCTTTATTGTGAAGAATCCCTGGGTAAATGATTTTCATTCTCAAAACAGTTTTTTGAAGAAGAACTCATAAATACTTTATTCTCTGATCTAACATGCTCCAGTGTTATCCTTACACTCAAATTGGTTATGTATAAAATTGTTGAGTGGAGTATTCTTTCATTCTAAACATTGTAAAAGTGTTACTCTCCTGTCTTTTGACGTTGAGCTTGGCTGAAAAGAAGTCTTGTAGTCAATCAGATTCCCCTCCCCACACTGTGTGTGCATTGGCCTTTTTTGTGCCAGTTACCTGTAGGATTCTTTCTTTATTCTTAAAGTAGAAGAATTTAATCAAGATGGTTGTGTTCATCATCTTAAATAACATTTTTGGGACCACAGCATGTCATTCAAAGGACTATTTGATCCTTCCTTTATTTCATGGAAATTTTATATCTGCAAATTTTCTATTCTGTTTTTTAGGTTTTGTGTTTTAGAGACTCAGTTATCCTTATATAGGACACTTTTTTCCTTATCTGTTCAATAATTACTTTAATCCTCCTTGCTCTACATTTACTATGATGATATCAAATCTTCCCTTTATGTTATTGTAGTAATAACCCAATTGTGATTGTTCCCTTCCTTGCTCTTTCTAGTTAATTAATTTTTTATTTATTTGTTTATTTTTGCTTTTAATCTCATTTCTTTAAGCTTTCTGTTTCCTTTTGTACTTCTCTCTATAGTTTTATCATCTCTTTCGATTTTGTTTATTGAATGATTTTCTTTTTATGATCTTCTAAAATGCCAACCACTGGTAGGAGAATTTTCTTCTTTCCCTGTGTCTTAGTCTATTTCTGCTGCTATAATGGAATACCTGAGACTAGGGCATTTGTCATGAACAGAAATTTATCGGCTCACATCTCTGTAGGCTGGCAGTCCAAGATCAAATTGCATGCATTTTTTGGGATTCTTCTTGCTATCGTCACACAGTGAAAGGCAGAAGGGCAAAAAGAGGCAAAAAGGGGCTGAACTCACCTACTATAATGACATTCATTCTACCTGTATGAGCAGAGCTCTAGTGGCATGATCACCTCTCAGAGGTCCTGCCTCTTAATACTGTTACAATGACAATTAAATTTTAACATGAGTTTTGGAGAAAGCAAGCATTCAACCCATAGCATCTTGGTTTATGCTTTTTATTTTTCTACATTATGATCTTGTCTCTTTTGCATAATGCATTTTTTGTTGTATTTGTCATGTATTTATAGTTGCTGTATCATTTCTTTTCATCTTGGTCATGCTTGAAATGGGCAATTCTGTCAAGAATTTTTCTTTGTCAAAACAGAATGGTACAAGTGAATTTTCCTTGGTAAATATTTCATCTTATTTTAGACCTATTTGCCTTTTCTGAGCTGCTGTATCTTGGCAAGGTATTGCTCTCTTGATACCTTCTCTATAACTCTAGGCCAATAGGGTGGGCATGGATGTAGGTAAAACCTCCCTGTATGGGGGCCATATGGCCCTTTTGTTGGAAGTTCTGTCCTCTAATTATAGGATTTTGTTTGGTGCCATGCATTAAGTACTCATATTATCTTTATACGTATCCTGATTCTGTGGGATATTGCATTGGGGCCTTTAATTGTTCTACCATTGTAGTAAAAATATGGTCAGCTTTTATGATTCTTGCTTCCTCTGTACCAATTCTTAAGTAATACAGCCTTTTACTCTGGAGGGGTTTTGTTATTTTATTCTGGGCTATCTACTCAATTCCTTCTCAGATTATTTCCAAGCTGTGTGGTACTAGTGAAAAATTCCCAGGATTTTGTTAGCTCACTGTCTTTTCCTAGTACCTATTTTCATAGGTAAAAGTAAGAGTTAGGTCAATCTAGCCAAAATCATCATCTTTTCACCCTCCACCTGCTCCCTACCTTTAAAAGTTACTGCATGACATCCTACTTTCTTTCTGTTTGGTTAATTAGTATTTTCTGTTAATGTGGCTGTATAATAGGATAAATCAATTTCTGTGTTCATATTTTACTATACCATCTTTACATGGACTTCCAATTTTTTGAGTGAATTTTTTATTTTGAAATAGTTTTAGATTTGCGGAACAGTTATGAAGATAGTACAGAGAAGTTCCTGTATCATCTTCACCTATTTTCCCTTTTTGTTAACATTTTACCTTACTATGATACATTTGTCACAAGGGAGAATTCAATGTAGTTACATAACTATGAGCTAAACTCCACATCTTATTTGGATTTCACTAATTTCTCCCCCACTGTCCTTTTTACGTTCCAGGATCCTATCCAGGATTTCATATTACATTTAGTTGTTATGTCTCCTTAGCCTGCTCTGGTGTGACATTTTCTTAGACTTCCCTTGTTTTCTATGACTCTGATAGTTTTGAGGATTATTGGTCAGGTATTTTATAGAATGTCTCTCAATTTAGTGTTTTGTGAAGTTTTTCTCATGGTTAAACTGGAGTTATTAGTTTTGAGGATGAAGAAGCCATTTTCATCACAAATTTTTTTAGGTTCACTCCACTGTAAAGTTCTGTGGATTTTGACAAATGCATAGTATCGCGTATCCAAATTAGTTCTGCTACTTAAAAAATCCCCAGTGCTTCCTCTACTCAAATATTCCTTCTTCCCAACTCTGTGGCAACTACTGACCTGTTTTCTGCCTCTAATAGTTTTTCGTATTCTAGAATGTTATATGAATGGAATCACACAATATTTAGCCTTTTCAAACTGGCATCTTTCACTTACCAAAATACATCCATGTAGATGCATGAATTAT